TTAGGGTTTAGGGGTTTAGGCCTTACTGGGGTGGCGTCTGAAAAACCTTTCAAAGGGGATTCATCTATGTGTGGGGGGGGGGGGTGGGGGTATGAAGGAGAAAGGAGACCCTGTCATTTCTCAAACTTGCCTGTTGGGACCTAAACCCTTAGCAGAAGCAACAACCCCCAACAGAAAGGGAGACCCCTACATGGGCATTTCCCAAGATGAGGGGGGAACCCCAAGATACCAAAATCCGCAGCCCAGAGCACCCTGAACCCTAAACCCTAAACCCTAAACCCTAAACCCTAAACCCTAAACCCTAAACCCTAAACCCTAAACTCCCCGGGAGGCTCAGGCCCGAGCCCATCATCACCAGCATGGGGGTCTGCATCTGCTGCACATCCTCGCGGGAGACGCTGAAGACGAAGTCCCGGCCGGAGCCAAACATGGCCTGACTCTTCTGAGGGTCTGGGGTTTAGGGTTTAGGGTTTAGGGTTTAGGGTTTAGGGTTTAGGGTTTAGGGTTTAGGGTTTAGGGTTTAGGGTTTAGGGTTTAGGAGTTCAGAAACAGCTTAGGGATAGGGCTTGCTAAGGGGGGCGGGGGGTGGGGGGTTTTGGGGGATTTGGTGTGGGGATTCAGGCTTGAAGGGCTGCAAGAGTTTCTTAGTTTGGGATGTTCCCCCGTAAACTAACAGTCCTTCCTAGGGACGATAGGGGGTACTTAAGCCCTATTGAGGACTGTTAGTATAAGGGGGAACATGCCAAGTCTTAGTGCTTGAGGCGTCATGGCCTTTTCGGGTGTTTGCCTGGCCCCTCTGTCCCCTCTTGCTCCACAAACCAAACCCAAGGATTCTCTGGCTAGCGGGTTTAGGGTTTAGGGCTAGGGTTTAGGGTTTAGGGCTCCTAAATCCTAAATTTAGACGGCTCAAGGGTAGGGTTTAGGACAGGGCCCTGGGGCCTCGTAGAGGCTGCGCAGCTCGTCGAGTCCCGCTTTCTTTTCCTTCTCCATCTCATCGGCCCAACCGCCAAACCTGGAAGAACATTCGGGTATGGAGTCTCAAGGTTAGGGTTTAGGGTTTAGGGTTTAGGGCTTAGGGCTTAGGGCTTAGGGCTTAGGGCTGGGCTTAGGGTTTTAGGGTTTAGGGCTTAGGGGTTAGGGCCTAGACAAAGTTTGTCAAGAGAAAGGTGGCAATGCGATATCGCTGTTCGTTCTTCTGGGACTCAAAACCCCCAAGCCCCACCCAACAAAGATCGGAGGGGATTGCCAGACTACCAAACCCCCACATGTAGGATTAAAATCCACACGAAGGGTTCCACCCTAAGGTTTGTCGGGTTTGGGGTGGTACTACGGAACTAAACCCTAAAACCCCTTCACCCCCAACCCCCAACCCCCAAACCCCTAAACCCCAACCCCTAAACCCTAACCCCTGACCCCTAAACCCTAAACCCTAAACCCTGAACCCTAAACCCTAAACCCTGAACCCTAAACCCCAAACCCTGAACCCTAAACCCTGAACCTTAAACCCTAAACCCTAAACCTTGACCCCAAAACACCGAAGCCGAGACTCCAGTGGAGGGTGGCCTCGGAGTTGATCCCGGACCATCCATCCCGTTCAGTGGTGTGCACGCCTTGGGATTTCGATTTGGGTTTAAGGTTTAGGGTTTAGGGTTTAGGGTTTAGGGTTTAGGGTTTAGGGTTTAGGGTTTAGGGTTTAGGGTTTAGGGTTTAGGGCTTAGGGCTTAGGGCTTAGGGCTTAGGGCTTAGGGCTTAGGGCTTAGGGCTTAGGGCTTAGGGCTTAGGGCTTAGGGCTGAGGGCTGAGGGCTGAGGGCTGAGGGCTGAGGGCTGAGGGCTTAGGGCTTAATTAAGACTCTTAGGGTTCTTAGGGCTCTTAAGGCGTTCAGGCGTTCTGCAGTCGAGGTTTTCAGGCTCTTTGGCGGGGGGGGGGTTGGGGGGTCAAAGGTTTAGGTATTGTAGGGGTTTCGAGATTGAGAGCTTTGAGGGGTCTGGTTGTTAGGGTTGAAGGTTGAGGGCTGTTGGGTTTCGGGGTTTAGGGGGTTAAAGTTTAATGGGCTCGGGGGGGAGGGGGGCCTGTGCCTCATAATTTCGTTATGTTTCCGCGTTCAGCTCAAAGATCAGGTTGGTGTCGGGCAAAGACCTTCCCTAAACCCCCGAAACCCAAAACTCTAAACTCTGAACTCGACTTGGGATTTTCCGAAATTCGGGGGTACCTTATGAACTACAAGGGAATCCTACTATTTGGGGTCGAATTTGGGGGTCCCCAATTTTCGCAAAACCCCCAACTCGACTAGTGCTTCACCTGGAGCTCTTAGCACGCAACACGAGGGAGCATTGGGGTTCCACAATGCTCCTTTACTGCAGGGTTTAGGGTTTAGGGTTTAGGGTATAGGGTTTAGGGTTTAGGGTTTAGGGTATAGGGTTTAGGGTTTAGGGTTTAGGGCTTAGGGTTTGGGGTTTAGGGTTTAGGGTTTAGATTCATCACCCTAAACCCTGAATCCTAAACCCTGAACCCAGCCCCTTAAAGCCCCCGAACTTTTTCCCAGGAGGGGGAGGGGGGTCGTCGGGGAAACCCTAGACCCCTCTGCGGCTTTTCCCAAACCCCGAACGTTAAAACCCTAAACCATAAAAACACCTTAACAACCCTAAAGCCCCTAAGCTGTAAACCTTAAACACTAAGCCTTGAACCCTAAGCTTAAACCCTGAACCCTGAACCCCTAAACCCTAAACCCTCAATCCTAAACCCTGAACCCTAAACCCTAAACCCTAAACCCTAAACCCTAAACCCGAAACCCTAAACCCTAAACCCTAAACTCTAAACCCCAAACCCCAAACAAACGGGCTGCTCATCCCGATCGGCTGCAGCAGCACCGCACCGGCGAAGCGCTGTGGCGCCTGAGGGTGAGAAAACTGGTCGCGGGCCTCTCATTGGGGGTTTAGGGTTTAGGGTTTAGGGTTTAGGGTTTAGGGTTTAGGGTTTAGGGCTTAGGGCTTAGTGGCTTAGGGGTTCAAATTGCAGGGTTCAGGGTTTTTAGGGTTTTCGGGGGTTTAGAGAAGGGCTTGCGTTCAGGATGTAGGTTTGAGGGCCGGGCACTCGGCTTTCCCGTTGCAGATCTTCGGCAGACAGGCTGGCAGCAAGCCAAGACCGAACGCTCCAACCTCCATGCTTTCAAAGACACCCAAAACCCGACACCTGAAAATCCGAATCGCTGACTCTACACCCTAGCCTTCCCCTAAACCCGAAACCCTCAACCCCATACCCTGAACCCTCAACCCACAAGTCCTAAGCTTGAAGCCCGACTTGCGAAATCGGAGGCCCGGCGCACTCAACCTGTCACAGGTTAAGCGACGTCCAGCCCTAAACCCCTAAACCCCTAAACCCCTACGCCCTAAACCCCTCAACCCCTAAACCCCCAAACCCCCCAAACCCCCAAACCCCTAAACCCCAAACCCTAAACCCTAAACCCCTAAACCCCTGAACCCAAAAAAAGCCTCCTTCAGCAGTCGCAGCTGAAACGAAGGGCCGATGCAAGATCCTCTGACTCGGGGCTGGGCTAAGAACAGTGTACTGGGGTAGGTTTGGGCGCCCTATGCAACTTCACTTCGTATGGCTTTATAAGGATGTTATAGGGGATTTACAGGTAATAATCGTTTTTTCGTATATAGGAGGTTAGGGGTAGTATCAAAAAACACGTTCAAACCTACCCCTGCGTAGAACTGGTAACATGGGCAGTGAGTAGGGTTTTAGAAGTGCCTCCTTTTCGTTGTAGTGCCATATCAAACTATATGCTTATCGTACTACGTGTTTTTTCCGATTCTTCGAGGTACTCTAGCATTCTGCTATCATGTCATCATTATAAAGATCGGCTTCTCAGAAGCCTTCAAGTAGTACAGCCCTGCACACCCCCAAAACCCTTCTCGTCCTGTCTGAAGTAGGGTTTATGTTCCTTGCATTCCCCCAAAAGGACACCCCATATATGGTTCAGCGTCGGGCGTTCCCGGCCCCCCCCCCCCCATGGTTTCCCCCCCCCCCCCCCCAAGTCTACTCTACGGTCCCTAAACCCTAACCTAAACCCTAACCCTAAACCCTAAACCTTAAGTCTTAAACCTTAAACCCTAAACCCTAAAACCCTGAACCCTAAACCCTAACCCTAAAACCAACCCCCAACCACACCACAGGGGGGGGGGGGGGTATCATCTTAGTACCCCATCCGCGGGGAAAACCCTAAACCCTAAACCCTAAACCCTAAACCCTAAAACCCTAAACCCTAAAACCCTAAACCCTAAACCCTAAAACCCTAAAACCCTAAAACCCTAAACCCTAAACCCTAAAACCCTAAAACCAACCCCCAACCACACCACAGGGGGGGGGGGTATCATCTTAGTACCCCTTCCGGGCGGGGGGGGGGGGGGGGGGTGGGGGGGCCGCCGGGGCTGAACCATATATACACACTCACTAATATCAAAAAGGAACCCAAAATACACTCACCAATAACAGCAACATATGCCCTGTTTCAATGCCGGGCCTAGCAGCAAGGACTTCTCAATGCCCAGGTGATCCAGCAAGGCCAGCTGATCGTCCGCAAAGGTCTGCCAGCCATCTCCTGTCGAGGCTTCAATTTTAGGGTTTAGGGTTTAGGGTTTAGGGTTTAGGGACTAGGGTTTAGGGTTTAGGGTTTAGGGCGTAGGGCTAAAGTTTGAAAGGATTGAGATCTACAGCACCTCCCCGAATCTACCGGTTCGAACTCAAGCGCCTCACAGCTTGCAAGCACCCCCAGCCCTAAGCACCAAGCCCATCCAAAAGCTCCAGGTTTTTGCTCGAGGCTTTTGAAGTCCTTGCTGCTTATGCAGACTCCGCCCGCCAGAGGCATCCAGCACGCACATATACGAACTACGGCCAACGCTGAACCCTGAACCCTAGAAGCAACGCCCTCGATCCACTTCGGGCCGGGTCGCCGGCTGAGAAGGTGGCACTCGACAAGCCAGGGCCTACCTGGCCAAGGGCTCGGGGTTTAGGTTTTAGGGTTTAAGGTTTAGGGTTTAAGGTATAGGGTTTAGGGTTTGAGGGCTAAGGGTTCATGGAATGTCGAGCGTTGGTGCTGGGGCTGTTAAGTGACCACGAGCCCGAGCTTGAGGCATGCGTTTTTGGGTTGGGGCTTTAAGGTTTGGGTTTGAGGCTTAGGGTCTAGGGTTTAAGGTTGGGAAGTGAACTTGTTACTTTGCTTGTTTGCGCTGCAAAGCAAGTAAGTAGTTGAGAATTGGCATCTTGCCGTGCAGTTCTGCCAATGAAATTCGCAGCTTTCCGAGACGGGGGGGAGGGGGGGGTGAGGGGGGGGGAGGTGGGGGGCAAGGGTAAAGAGTCCCACCACAACCAGATAGAACTTGCCACAACCAAAAGACGCCACAAAAATCCAGGGCGTACTGCAATGGCACAGGCTCCCTCTTCAGACAAGGTCGCATTCTGCCATCCACGGATGGGTCTTAGGGTCTTAGGATGTCTTCGGACTCTTCTCATCAAGCTTCAGGTGTAGAAGCGGGCTTAGGGCCCTGAACCCCGAACCGCCTCTTCGCTTGGTTTTGGCCTTTGCAATAAACAGGGACAGGACGCCCCTCGTGAAACGCCCTTGAAAACCCTCAACCCTGAACCCTGCATCGACACAATCTTCAGGGTTGAGGGTTTAGGGTTTAGAAGCCTCGGCTTATTTCTGAGCCCTAAACCCTCATCGACAAGGAAGCTCGCCCCCCCCCCCCCCTATCCCACGACCCCAGACCCTAAACCCGAAGCCCTAAACCCTAAACCCGAAACCCTAAACTCTAAACCCTGGCGAACCCTCAACCTGGGCCCGAGAAACCCTGAGCCTGGGCACTGCGCTGGTCCATGGCGATGAGCCGGAAGCTACAGAGGGCGAGCATCGTCCTCCCCAAGCTTTAAGGTTTAGGGTTTCGGGTTTAGGGTTTAGGGTTTAGGGTTTAGGGTTTAGGGTTTAGGGTTTAGAAAACCGCCATTTGTTTCTTGGAAGCCTCAAACTCCCAAGGCCTCAGGGCTTTTAGGGGTGAGTCGGGGGTGGAGGGGTTTACGGGGTGAGGGTTTCAGGGCTCCAAGGGGTTTTAGGGTTTAGGGTTTAGGGTTTAGGGTTTCAGGGTCGAGGGATCTACAGCGGGTTATTGGGAAGGCTTAGGCATGGTTGATCCTGGGCCCAGGTGTGCAACTCGTTCAGGGTCGTAGGATCCCACACTTTAATGGTTCATGCGTGTTTTAAGTCAAGCAACGTATCTTGAAACACCTCTTCGAATCTTAGAACCTCGGTTCAGATTCTTTTCGCAGTGCCTGCTTGCGGCTACTTCTGGACCTTTTCAAGAGGCCCGCGCTCACAAAACTACCGTCCGGCTTGGGATTCTTGGGATTTAGGGTCTAGGATTCCTACTGCTGGGTGTATTTCCAAATTTCCGACAAGGGTGCCAGACTGTAGAGAGCTGCGCAAGTAACGTGAGGGATGTTGGTATAGGCGGCCTTATGTGGTTTGGGTGGCTTAGGTGGCTCAGGGTAGAGCCCTAAACCCTGAACCCTAAACCCTAAACCCTAAACCCATATGGGCTCAAAGTGCAAGGTTCGGTCCATGGATTCCAGGGCATGTTGTCCCACATCGCGATGGAGGAGCGCATGCCGCCTGGAGCTAGGAGCCTGGCGCGGTTTAGGGTTTAGGGTTTAGGGTTTAGGGTTTAGGGTTTAGCGGCCCTTAGACCTTCGAAAGAGACACATCCTCTGAATCCGATAAGCTCTTATAGCCTCAGAAGCCCTACGTGGCCGGCTACAGACTCTGAAAACCTATACCCTTGAAGCCTTAAACCCTCAACCCCATAGCCCTGACTGCTCAGGGTTGATGAACCTTGCAGGTTCCAGGCGCAAAGTGTCTGTTCATTGCTTCAAGGGCTTCGGATTAGGGGGCAAGGGCTTTTCTTAGGGGGGTTAAGGGTTTAGGGTTTAGGGTTTAGGATTTAGGGTTTAGGGTTTAGGGTTTAGGGTTTCGGGTTTAGGGTTTAGGGAGGACTTGGGGATTCAGATTTGGGGGTTCAGAAGGGTTCATGATTCAGGGGTTTGGGGGTTTATGGCCCAGGGCTGCCAAGAAGCAGCACAGGAATACCGGAGCCCTTCACCTCGTAGTAGATCTTGGCCTAGACAGGGCCGATGACAGGTCGGCTCCAACAACTCTAAACCCTAAACCCTAAACCCTAAACCCGAAACCCTAAACCCTAACCCCCTAAACATCCCTGAACCCCAAACTCTCCGGACTGAGACCAACCCTGAACCCTACAACCCTAGTTGCATTGACATCCTCAAGTGAGCCATCGGCTGATGCCTCGGGATGTGCCACAACGAAAATCATGGGCAGTTCTCTCTACATATTGTATACACATATCTGTACATGTACATGTACATATTTCTGTAACTCAGCTTCTGGATCTCAGCCCGTGACGCCATCAGGTCTGTCGAGATACGGCATGGCGGCCGCTTGAGGCCCAGGAAGAGTGGGATTTTGCGCGCCAAGCAGGTTCGTGAGACACTCTCTTTTCCATATTTGGCAGCTCTGATGTCTAGGGTTTTGGGGTTTAGGGTTTAGGGCTTAGGGCTTAGGGTTTAGGGTTTAAGGCTTAGGGCTTAGGGTTTAGGGCTTCGGGTTGATTGAGGCCCGCCTCTCATGCTTCGCGATCTCCGATCTGAGCAAGCAGCTGCTCACGTACCATCTCAGCTCCCCGCTGTTTGGGGTTTAGGGTTTAGAGTTCATGGTTTAGGGTTCAGGGTTTAGGGTTTAGGGTTTAGGGTTTAGGGTTGAGGGTTTAGGGTTTAGGGTTTAGGGTTCAGGGTTTAGGGTTTTTGGTTTAGGGTGCAGGGCTTAGGGTTCGGGCTCAATTTACAGGAAGTGACTTCAGCATCCCCAACCCCTACACCCCAAAGCCCCTCTCCCTTGTCTTGGCAGCCCAGCAACCACACTTGTGCTTAAAAGGGTAAACCCTAAACCCTAAACCCTAAACCCTAAACCCTGGGGTACCTTTACAATGGAACCAAGAAACCAAGAACCCGAAAAGGTCCAAAAGGGAGCATCACTCAGCCACCAAGCTATAATCCCTGCACGACGGAAAACCACGCACCCTTGACGACAACTTGAGGGTTCAGGGTTGAGGGTTTCGGGTTGAGGGTTTAGGGTTTTAGGGCTTTAGGGTTTAGGGTTTAGGGTTTAGGGTTTAGGGTTTGGGGTTTAGGGTTTAGGGTTCAGCGGTACTTCCCTCAAGTCAGAATCGGCTCTACCCAGGGCTGGTGCGGCGAAGAGGGGCAGGCTGAGGATTCCCGGAGATGCAAGCCTGAAGAAGCTTACGGAGTCGTAAGTACTTTACGGCCCCTAAACCCTAAACCCTAAACCCTAAACCCTAAACCCTAAACCCTAAACCCTAAACCCTAAACCCTAAACCCTAAACCCTAAACCCATTACTGAAAAGTGCCCATGAACCTCCAAGTAGGGTCTAGGGCTTAGGGTCTGAGGGTCTAGAGTTTGAAAGGGACTGAAGGTCTAGGGCAAAGTGGGTCGACAGGGCTTCGGACTTATGGGCCTTACAGAGGCTGAGGGTCGCAGGGATTCGGTGGGCTGCAGCAGGGCTCTAGGACGCCAAGACTACCGGATCTCCCTCGGCTGAGGCTGCAAAGCAATCCATCATGAACTCGTTCGTTTTTGAGGGGGCTGGGAGGCTTTGAGGCTTTTGCTGAGGATCAGGAATCCTCTCGCCCTTCTGTCATGAGCAGTCGGAGCCTGATGAGCATGTCGGTGCCGGGGTATAAGAAGGTATGAACGGCAGAAGGAAGACCAGAGCCCACATGAAATCTTAAAGGGGTCTAAGGAGGGACACCCAGAAGGGACCCTTGCAATTCATATACATATATATATATATATATACGTGTTCTGTGTCGGTCCCCCCCCCCCCATGGTATGCCCCCCCACCCACCCCCCCTAAACCCTAAACCCTAAACCCAAAAACCCAAAAACCCAAAAACCCCAAAACCCAAAAACCCAAAAACCCAAAAACCCCTAAACCCTAAACCCCAAACCCTAAACCCTAAACCCTAAACCCTATACCCTGAACCCTAAACCCTAAACCCTAAACCCTAACCCCTAAACCCAAACCCTAACCACCGCACCGCACAGGGGGGCCCAAACCACAGGGGGGCGGGGCGGGGACCGCAAACCCTAAACCCTAAACCCTAAACCCGATAACCCGATAAACCCTAAACCCTAAACCCTAAACCCTAAACCCTAGACCCTAAACCCAAATCCCAGCCACACCACCCCGCAGGGGGGCCAAACCACAGGGGAGCGGGGCGGGGAAAGAATTTGGGCGGGGCCATGGGGGGGGCAGCGACGCTGCACCATATATATGGTCAGCCCCCCCCCCATGATCTAGGTTTTCCTTGTTCCCGATAAAAACCCTCGTAAAATACCGATTAAAAATGACATACTGGGTATGTAAGGCGAAGTCCTGTTTCTGCACGTCTAATCGTGTGTGAGAAAACGTGAAAATAGTGCAAACCGTGTGTGTGTGTTTCGCACTTATCTACACGTCATCACCTAAAAGAACACCGAAAAAACGCACGAAAATGCAATTTAGTGAACATGTGTGTGTGTGTGTGTGAAGTATTTGCATAGGACGGGCTTATAAACACAGAATTGTATGCAAACAAAACACTTTTTTGCTCATTTTGCCTAAAAAACCCAAAATCCAAACATCCAAAAACTCAAAACCATGGAGCCGGGACACCGCTTTTTTGGATTGTTTTGTTTTCTCGAGGTTTTTTGTTTTTTTGAAAAATCCACCAAAGAAAAACATGTGTTGTTTTGGATTTTACTCGTTCCTGGCCTCAAAAACCAAAAACACACATGGTTTTTTTGGCTTTTCACTCAAAATCCAAAAAAACCTCGTGATTTTTTGGATTTCAGGTGCTCCTGGCCTCAGAAACCAAAAAACACATGGCTTATTTTGGCTTTTCACTCGAGTTCCAAGAAACCCTCGTGCTTTTTTGGATTTTCAACCCCACGGGGAGCAAAATCCAAAAAATCACATGGATGTTTTTGGAGTTTCAAAAAACCCAAAAAATCATCGAGAAAACAAAAAAAACGGTGTCCCGGCTCCATGGTTGTGAAGTTTTGGATGTTGGGATTTTGGGGTTTTTTGCAAATTTTGTAAAAAATGGCTTTTCTTGTATAAAGAATGTGTATTGCTATAAGTTGTTTCTTATAACGTGACTGCCTTGCACACACACACACACACACAGAGAAACACGCACAACCACACCCACCATTTCGCTTTTAATTTAGATTCAATCCATGCAGTACGTAGGGCGTGGCGTTAACATGTGAAGTTCCATTAGGAGTTAATTACGAATGAGGCTTAGAAGAGGATGTCTTGGGATGTGACGTCTTATGATAACAAGTAATATTAAAATAAGTTAATTTCAAGAGAGGGGTTTCTTAGGGCGTGTTTTTGAGGACGTGGACCTGCAATTCAAAAGTCCAAGTAGGATTAATTATGCGTGGGGCTTAGAAGAGGATGTCTTGGGGTGTGGCCTCTCAATTCAAAAGTCTATTTCAGTGGACTTACAAACGAAATCCAGATGAGGATTTCTCAGGGTGTGGCGTTTTAGTGCAAACCTCAAATTACATGTCATCACGAAGCGGGGCCAGAGGAGAATTTCACCGGGTCTGGTCGGTGAAATAAAATTCCAAAGAGGTAATAACGAATGAGGCTTAGAAGGGCGCGGCCTCTTAATATGTTTTTGTTTACTCGGTTTCTTTTTACGAACGAAGCTGTGGCTTTATCATACGCAAGTCTATTGAGATTTCATGAAGAGGCCCCAGAAGAGGATTTCATAGGGGGCGGGGGCGGCCGTTAAATATAGAATTGTAATCGTAGGTACATTTAAAGACGAATGGGGGCTCACAATATGCCATCTTAGGATGTGGTCTGTAAAAATTCTGTCCACAGGGGTGTGGCCTCTTAACTCAAAATTCAATTTAAGTGGAATTACAAACGAGTCCAGATGAGGATTTCTTAGGGTGTGGAATTTTAATACAAACCTCAAATTAGATTTCATTACGAAGCGAAGCCAAGGGAGAATTTTTCATAGGGTGTGGTCTGCAATATACAATTCCAAATAGGTATTAACCAATGAGTCTCAGAAGAGGATGTCTTGGGGCGTGGCCTCTGATTATGTTTGTTTTAATTGGGTCTAATTACGAAGAGAGGTTTTATCATTCACGAGCGTATTAACATTTCATTAAGAGGTCCCAGAAGAGGATTTCACACGGTGTGGCTGTTAAATATGGAATTGGAAGTAGATTTACATACAAATGAGGGCTCAGGAGATGATATAGAATTCTGTCCAAAAGTTACATACGAGCCTATCCTAGATCAGAACTTGTTAGGGTGTGGGCTTCTTACCTAGAATTATAGACTTCTTATGAGATTCTGTTACGAACAGGCCCAGAATGATGTGGCTTTTTTGATACAACCATCTAGGCAAATGGAAAATAAGTCTAACTACAAACGAAGGTGTAGTGAGGATTGCTTGGGGTGTGGCTTTATCATACAGACTTCTAGTTAAGCTTCCTTTCAGGGGCCAGAAAGGGATTTCATAGGGTGTGGTCTGCAAGATAAACTTCTAGCTCGGTTGAATTGCGAGGAGGACGACCTGAGGATGGCCTCTTAATGTGCACTTGCTGCTGGGGTTTCATTATGAAACGAAGCCCAGAAGAGGATTTCTTAGGGTGTGGGTTTACAATACGAAATCAAGTTACGTTTCCTTGCGAAAGGGGCCAGAGGAGGATTTCATAGGGCGTGGGAAAAATGACATTCCAAATAGGTACTAACCAATGAGGCTTAGAAGAGGATGTCTTGGGGCGGGGCCTCGTAATATGTTTGTTTTAACGAAGCTGTGGCTTTATCATAGACGAGTCTACTGAAATTTCCTTAAGAGGGCCCAGAAGAGGATTTCATAGGGTGCGGCCTTTAAGAAAAGAATTCTTTTCCTAGGGTGTGGGCTTCTTGTATAGCAGTTTTGCAATAAATTAGGAAGGAAGCCCAGATGAGGATTTCTGACGCTGCAACCTCTGCATTTAAAGTTCCTCTGAGATTTTGTTACGGACAGGCAGGCCCCAGAAGAGGATTTCATAGGGCGCAGCTTTTAATAGGCAAATTTAGGTTTCCAAATAAATTGTACTACGAATGTGGCCAGAGGATTTCTCAAAGGGTGTGGCCGTTTAATATAAATTCCGAATTCGGTTTAAATATCATTTTGATGTGCCCGGAAGGCCTTCCGACCTAGATCATGGGGGGTGGAGCGGGGTGAGCATATGTGTATATATATATATATACATACCTTACATAGTCATCCAAGTTCCCTATAAAATCCCTCTATACCTCATATAGCCCCCATGCACCTAAGTTCCCTCTATAACCC